TATATATATATATATATATATATATATTTATTTATTTTATTTTTTTTTTAGTTTTTGCTTTTTTATTGTAACATGTCTAAAATATTACTTTCTATCTTCAGCCAAGTTCTGCGGAGATCCTGGTGTGCCTTCCAAAGGACGGCGAGAAGGACGCAGTTTCATTTTCAAGTCAGAGGTGGAATTCAGTTGCAGCGCCCCCTATGTGCTTGTCGGATCAACAACACGCATTTGCCAAGAGGATGGGACTTGGAGTGAATCTCAACCTCGATGTATAGGTATTGTATTTCTCTATAAAAAATCATTGCATGTTTTTTGTTAGGATTAAAACATGTTAATTTTCTTTTTACTGAAATGAAAGACCAATTTTATGAAGTAGTATTCTTGCAATCCAATTAAAATGGCCAGTATTTTGATTCTTAAACATTTATGGCAAATGATCTTGATGTTATCAGGTAGCAGTAAATTAAGTATTTTGTTGTGCTTATCTTAAGTGCATAAATGCTAGAGAAATGTTTCATCACATTCAGATAATTGCCAAATTAGTATTCATTTCAATTGAATTTTAGAGGTAGAAACTCATTGTGAAGTGGATAAATCCTTCCCAGGTGATTCTGCTCACGTTAGCACCCCACTTCAGTAATTTTCTGCCGGTACATAGCACTCCTGGGAGCTATGACTTTTTAATTATCAATCTTTTTTTGTTGTCATATTATATGCTTTGCTGTTCTTGTAACTCTGCTATGCCCACAATGTTTTCTTTTAACAGAGCCCTCCAGAAGCACATGCGAAAATCCAGGAACGCCTGAGCATGGCTTCATGAATTACTCTACAGGTTTCAAGGTAAGATGAGCGAAAGGGACTATTTCAAAATGTCTTTATGCACTTTGATTTTTGAGATAAATGCAAAATATTGTTTTAAAAACCCAAGCCACTGTTAGCAATACTGAAAGCCGGATTTTGAGTACCTTACAACCCGAGTTCCAGCCATGTGAAGGCTGAAATACTGGGAATTCAATCTATGAATCCTCTCACTTTTCAAACACTTTTTGAGCAAGACACTGTGGGAGAGCTGGTAGCTCTGTCAGCACTGTTGGACCAGGATGGAAATGGTAGCATAAGCTTTAAGTTTCTTTTCAAAGATTGGCTCAACTTTTTATTTTTTCTAGCATTATTTTCACAGCATGGTACTTATTTTTGTAATGCTATACTCAGAGTTATGCTTAACTATTCACATTTAATTTGGTCTTGATATTTTAAAACAAGATGATATAGTTAAGTGTAAAATATATTGAATATATGTTAGCAAAAGATCTTTTGATTTGCTTTGTAAATAGATGTAAACTTAGCTGTTTCACTCTGAAATCATCCCCTTGAACTTATTCAGTCAAGGGAAGTATTTCCTAGGTAGAATTAATATTCTTAATATTTTTTGAGTACTAAGAATTACTTTTTGGCCACAAATTAGTATTTTATTTCTTGGAAAATTAGTCTCTTGGTAAAGAATGGGTAATTCTTGAACACACTATGTATGTTTTTCCTCCTTGTCAGTTTCCGGTGTCTGTAGTATCCATATCTAGTTCTTGTTATCGTTTTATTCAACAGATGTTTCTCAACAAAATACCAAAATTCTCTACTTGATCCTTAAGTATCCAGTGGTTTAGACTACAATAAAAAAAAGTCTAGAAATGTAACCTTTAATCTGAAATTAAGTTGTAAAGACTTATCTATTCATTCTACAGTTAATAAAGTGTCTTTCTAGTTTGAGCAGCTCTGCTTTGGGGGTATTTGGATGAAACCTAGCATCTTTAAAGGGTTGTCCCAGGCTAAATTCAACCTGAACCTGCATGGAAATATATATATATATATATATATATGTATATATATGTTTGTTTTTTATTTAGTGTGTACTTTGAGACAGTGTGTCATTATTCAGTGTGTGATGTTGCTACCAGGAAAAAACAAAAAAGCTTGGAATTCATATAAGTGTATATAAAGGGGAACATCATATATTTCTCTTCAGATATAGTTTGGTGCTGTGTTTGTGGGTTTTAACTTTTGAACAAGTCGAGAAAAAGTGAAATTTGGTGTCACAAAATCAATATTAAAACGTGTGTGCTTGAGAGCTCCCATGAGTTGCTCTCACTCTCATTATTTCCACCCTTTTACTTTCTGGGTGTCACAAGTTAAGTGCAAACAATTTCTTCACAACATTCAGCAGTATCACCGATATGAAAAGTGTCACAATAAAAGCAGAACCGGCTTATACAGATTAGTGCTTGTAAATGTCTGCAAACTTGCATCATTCTGCATTTCTGAACAACTTCTAATTACATTTGGACACCTCTAACTGAGAAAAATCTGTCTTCATGCTGGCTTTATGGAGTGTACTGAAATGGTTGCTGAAGGTGAAAACAAAATAATTTAAACTCTAGTAAAAGGGACGACCCTGTGTAATCTCAGTATATCAGGGAAGAAAAAATAGGTTCTCGGCTTTGGAATAACTCTCTGTTTACCACAGCACAATACAGATAATCATTACAGTGGAGAAAAGAAGTATTTAGTCGTCAGTATTATTTTCAAGCTCTTTAGATTTGAAGCTGTGAGCCTTTTGGCATTTACATCAGTGTATTGATTCTTCTCTTGTGTGTTGTCTGTCTGTGGCCAGGTGGGTAGCAGAGTAGACTTCCAGTGCCAACAGGGACACATACTACAGGGCTCCACAACAAGGCTGTGTTTACCAGATCTTACCTGGACGGGGATCCAACCTACATGTGTCCGTAAGTGATTGTTCTTTATTCTCTCTCTGTATCTTTAGATCTTTTTTACCGTCTTTGTTTATGTCCAATCCTTAAGTTTTTCTCTCACTATCTGTGCCGCTGGCTACTCAGCGGGTCTATCTATGCTCGTCCTCTGCCCTGCACCTCCTCACCCTCCCTGAAGCCTCTGTCAATGCCAGGTTTTCTCATTCGCTCCATCCTCATCTAACCTAGGACCTTCTAGTAGATTGCTTCTCGTGACTCAATCAACCAGTCATCATTCTGAGAGTGAAGTGTTGACCAAGATTACTGTCATTCTGTTTAAATAAGCTGAACTTTCGACCAGCATCAAACCAGGGCTGTGCAGTTTATCCCATTCGCTTTGCTTGTGATGTGATTTGGTATTTTTGCGATCCCTTCATCCCTTTCTGCCACAGCATTTTCTTCTGGAGCCTTTCCATTTCAATTCACAGCAACATTTGCTTTAACAGCAACCGTTAACAAGATAGATAGATAGATAGATAGATAGATAGATAGATAGATAGATAGATAGATAGATAGATAGATAGATAGATAGATAGATAGATAGATAGATA